GCACACACCACTCTCCGTCTCTATTACTCTGTTCTCCACTCAAAAACCTCCTCACATGTCACTACCTTCTCACACAACACTACTTACACTAACAGCTGGATAAGCTCATCAAGAATTCCAGTTTCTTAAACTTTCTACAGTACTCCTTAGTGAGAAGAAAAAATAATGCAGTGAGTAGTGCCAAGAGCAGAGCTCCACTATTGCCAAGAGTGGGGATATGCCTATGCCTACTGTGAGACTGCTGGAACACAGCAGTGATGGCACGGGGACAAATCCAATGCAGTTGTTTATTCTGGCATGGCACAATTGTCAGGAATTTTTTCCCTACCTTAAAGGTGGTACACATAAATACATGCTGGCTTTCTAAAGACTGATTCAATCCTTTCTATTGAACTCCTTCAAAGCTGGACAGGGCCTTCAGCAAACTGGCTTTCTGGGTTTCTCCCTCAGATTCATCTCAGAATTATCTATGAATTTATTAGCACAGCAAAGACTGAAAATATTTGAAGACTCTCATCAGCMCTAGTATACAAAGTTAGCAAGACTGATAATCTTCCAGATGCAGAAGTTGCAAGTAAAATGCAATTCTAGAAGARTAACATATTAAAGAAAATCTAGATGATTTTTCACACCATAACCCATTCCTGAAGAAGCTAAAGTTGTCTTGGGCTATCACACTTCAATCATCAACAGATATTAAAAATCTGCAGCTGTGAAGCTACAGATTGTCTGTGTAGACAAACAATGTTTTACTCCTTACCTGGACATGTGTTAAGAAATGTCATACAGTGAAGCTACCACCACAAGCCTTTACTCATTCCTGCCGACACCTTTGGCAAAACTCATACTAAATTCAGAATCTGGATTTCACTTTACCTATATATTGTTTTTATGCTTAGCTGTGAAGGCTTCCAAGTTTCTGCGGCATATCCCTTCATATCTGCTGGTAGAAGGGGGAAAAGATTCTCCAGGTTAAACAATAAGGAGTTCARTCAGTGTGATGTTTCTGTTGCATTTATTTTGGACTTCTGTTGAAATTACAGAATGATTACCMGAGGACATGGTAGGACAGCATCCTAGTGTTCTAGATATTAGATCAAAATCAAATAAAATACAACSCAGTTTGAAATTCATACTGTGGATTCAAATATATTAAAACATCCTCAGTGGTTTTACTCTGCTCTGGAGAGACTCAGCTTTGCTCAAGTAACCCCTGCATGTGTTACTTTGCTCAAGTAACCCCCTAAATCTGTGCTACATCATGTGGCATCCATTGTAGCAGACAACATAAATTCTCTAGARAGGCAGAGAGCTAACATAAACCCCTTACCAGATCAGACAACTTTGGCAATGTGTTTTTCAGTCCCAGAACTGCTGAGTGGTCTATCACACAGCAGTTCAGCATTCAGGATCACAGAATCAGTGCCCAAGTTATAACTGTGCATTAAGAAAAGCAGTCACAGATCATCAGTCAGACAGTCAGCTGCATCTTGGCATTCCTGCCAGCAGCATCCAAACTCAATGCTTCTGTCACTGATGATGGCCTGCACTACAGAGGCCATCTCTCCCCAAACCACCTCCTGCTSCTCTTCAAGCCCCTGAGTGCTTTCTTCTTCTGACTTTGCGTTGTTAATCTCAAGGGACATCTTATGTGAGAAATTATTCAGGTGCAATTTTTTGGAAAGGTTGTGTGATATCTGAAGTGCAGAGAGCATGAGCTACATGAAAATGCTGAAAATACTGTCAATCTGTGTATCACATCTGACATACTATTTGCTAAGTGCTCTTGCTTTCTGCTCATGCACACCAATTAATTCACCAGTGAAATGTGGCTGTCTTCAGAGTGATAAGGCAGCCATCCCAAACACCCTTTTGTCTCAGCTATAATTTAACAGTGTTAAAACAGTTTGTAAAAGCTTAGGCAAAGAAACAAGGCATGAAGATGCAGGAAGTTGAGATTGTTTTTAACMTAGTAGCGAGCTCCCACTATAAGGCAATCTACTTCCCCAGAGTTAGATTACTGGAGTGGAAATTCAATGGGTCCTTTAACAGATGAGATTTCATACCACTTTAAATATGCTGAATGGTTGCATCTGCCAATTTTTATAGCCACCTCCTTGGTCATTCCTCAGGGCTTTCTTTCCACTCACCAGTAAATAAAACAAAAATYGAGGAAACAGTCTGCTTAAGCTGCCATAGTTAAGAAGAAATACCATAAACATGTCTATGGGGAAGTCCAGAATTCTAAAGTACTTTATCTGCAAAGACATAGAGAGAATTTCCTATCCAGTTGGAGGCATGTGAACTACTTTTTAAACCAYTTTGCTTTGTTCCTGTGATCTATTACTTGTCAGAACTGTCTATYGCTTCACTGATTTCTGAAAAATTAAATCTTCTTAAAGGAGTTTTTTACAAACATTGTGACAGAAGACACATTTATTTCAATATGAAACAATATGGGAATAGTGTCCCTATTTATCTAGTATCARTATTAGGAGAACAATGATCAACATCCACCCTTCTCAATTCTACTAGATGTACACAAAATTTGAAGTAGATACCACCTGGGCTCTAACTTGTCTCAGTGAACAATTCTCAGAATGAGGGCTCTTTCACCTCTATGCAGAGTCAAATTGTCACTTCCTGCTCCTCACGTGTAAGAAATTTCCATTTCCTTATGTCCCCTTGTACAAAGTACTGCAAATCACAGCAATGGAAGAATAGCTTTGTGTCACGATAACTTGTGCTGAACAGCATCTGAACAGACTGTGAAATGATGATCATAAATACTACATAAGACAGATGAAAATTTGCCTGAGATACCATGGTACTCCCAGAGTGTTTGTATAATGCAGGTGGCTACTATACAAACAGAACAACCTGGTAAAGATATGAGAAAGAATACCAGAGCAAATTAATGTAAGTAAATCAATAATCTTTTAGTCTGTAGGACTTTTGGTGCTGAAGCCCTACAAAACTGAATTTACATTCTCACTTCTGAATTTGCTCAAGAGTAATCAAGAACACATAAAGGTCCTAATATGCAGATATTTCGATAATTTTACTTCCCTATTACAGATTTTTTCAAATTCAGCATCCAACACAAATCAAATAGGTCGTTCAATTGAAAAAAAAAAGGAATATCTCCCTTCTATTCACAAGGAGTGACAGAGAATCCATGAAAAGAATGACCCTTCTGAAATKCTACATTGCCTAAAATCTGCTTTTGCAAAAACAACTTGTGATTGATACTCTTCATTAAATGAATACGAGTCCTCAGTATTTTGTCACTTCATATATTCACATCCATTAGTGAAAAGGGTGAACAGAAGAATGACTACCATCACGATTCACCAACAGCTTTCAGTCTTSCTCCTTGTCCCATAAAGGCATACAGTTGAAGAAAATCAGGTCTATGTGCAGCAGAAACCAATGCAGCTTTCCAGTAACAAAACAGAGTTCAGATGGGCTGATTGCACAGACAGCAGCACAAATGCACACAGTCAAACAYCTCAATCTCAGCTGAGGAGAAGGCAGAAGGAGAATGTGCTGAATCATAGCTTGGCTCTTTTACACTCCTTTGCTACTCATGGGCTAACAACAGAAGGAGAAGCAGCATGCTTGCACGCAACYAAGAAAACCTGGGGGCTGAGCAGCAAAGCCGGGAGCCAGCTGTGCTCTTTTGCTTTCCCATGTCCATAATTAGGCCACTTCATTGTTTCCCCTTTTCTCACCACCAAATTCCCTTGGAACAGAAATGTCAGCCCACAAACTCAGCCGTTTGGCACGGCCTGAGGAGAAGACACCCATGACATTTTATCAGGGCCACATTCCTATGTACTGAGCATCACACACACACACACAGCAAGTTTCCCCTTCGTGCCTGCTCCCCTCTAGGTCTGCATCTTATGCACTTCACTGAAAGGTCTCTGCCAAGTGCCYGATCCTCCATGTCAATTCTAGCTTGACCATGTCCTCAACTGGACCTGCGACCTCTCAACCAGATAACATCTGATGCCTGGCTCCACAGAGGAGTTATGACTTGGTGGATGCTTCATAACAGTGTCCTAAATTAAGTCATGCTAGGCAGCCTCTTTCTCTGACTAATTTCAAGATTGTTCCCTCAGTCATACAACCTCCCCACCCCGTCACATAACCTCATGTGGCAGCTAGTGTCTACAGGTAGGAGCATTCAATGCCAYTTCTGCTGTCTTTTTGCCCACTCACAACTCCATGTCTACAGAGTTTGACCTAAATATCCCCAAACTACTTTACAATTTGCATTTTAATTTGAATAAATCCATGCAGCACATTTATTTACTTTTACTCCTTCCTGTACTGGCAATATTGAYGTGACAGAGCACGCCAGTAAATCACACCCAGTATGTCAGGCTYCTTTAATTCCAACGAGATTCCTTATTCTTTGCTGCCTATTGCCATTTCGCATGTAATTTAAAAACAGCAGGCAGCAATTGAACTCTCAGATCTCATTAATACGTACAAGTCCTTCCAACAAAAAGAAGCAGACTAGAGACTATTGCTTCAAGGTGATGGCCAAACGTGCCAAAGTTGCCTTTGATCTATATTGCCACTGATGCTTTTCAATCACATTGSTTGTCTTTATTTGCATGCTATACTTGTTCTGCTTTATATAATGTCTCCTCTCTGTGTAAGAACGCTATGACAATTTAGCAGCAGCCTTTCATGCTATGCAAGTTATTTTTCAATTCTGTTTTATGTCTGCATTCAATAATTAACAACTTCATAAATTACACTGATGGAGTAAACCCATACTGAAGGTTTTAATGTATCACTCATTTTTGTAGCTAATTAAGCCTTTTGCACAGAGACACGTAGTCATGAAATACATCAAGCACAGTTAGGTCAACAACTGTTTAGCCAAGAAAGGAATTTAAAAAAAAAAAGAGAAAAAACTGAGATAGTACTAGAGTAATGTCCATGTTTTAAGAAAAGTCTCAGCTCAGTCTCAAGTTGCTTACCTCTCCTTGCCAGATTGGGTTAACGGTGTTACAAATGATCTTAGATCTTTTCTCCTGTCCATGATGAGGAAGTGCTGGGAAGATGCTATGTTTTCCAGGCTGGATGGAAATCTTCAGATAAGGATCTGGRTTGAAGAACATCCCTTTCTTCAGACCAAAAGCCTGGAAATCTGAAAGAAGGTAAAGAACATGATTATTTTTCAYATTCCAGGCCTCTCTTTGGGATGCTAGGAACAGTAGGTTCTGGTAAGGGACTGGTAAGGTACTCAAATAATATGGGTAGGAATGTGAAAAAACTCACTGTGTTTATTGTGAGGCAATGTAACGCCAAACCATAATGATCTTATGACTTAGTGTTTACAAATTATTATATAATGGAACTTCAAATTTACAGCTTGGTTGTGCAGACTGATTTCGTTTCAATATTTATGCAGCTTCAAGTGATCTACTACATTTTCTAATAAGCTGAGCACTTGCKCAGTATTGACTGTATTGGAAGGACCTACTCTGAGAAAGAGATCCAGTCATTTAATCACAGTCATGGCACTTGGTACACAATAGATGTAATTTTTCCTAGGTATTAATTTTACCATTCTACAAATCTTAGCTTTTACACCACYTTTTTTTCTACATGAGAAGTCATTTTACATTTTTTCCCACTTTAAATAATTTTCTTCCCTGAATGGGTTAACTTCACTTTASAAAAGCTCTTGTCTATWATGTCCAAATTTTAAGCAGGRCTTTACAGCTGCAGAACTCCAAGGRAGCATAAACTTGTTGTACACACAAAAAATGCCCAGGCACTTACTTGAAAATTTCCCTATAACATTCTGAAGAAAGACACAAAGCTTATTACAATTTTACCCTGTGAAGCCAATGAAATGCAAACTAATCTGCTAGTATATCATTAATTTTGGCTCAACAGACAACAGCCTGAACCCTCCAGCCTTCTCTTTTTCCAGATTCATTTCTAAGCATTCTTTGGAACATATAAGCACTTATTCCTATTAGCGAGTTCAGTAGCTAATTTATTTTCCACCACTCTTTGCATGGAGATTCTCCTCTGCTTAAAGCTTTATTTCACATTGGGTTGTAAGCATTATACTCCATTCTGCCTATTTTCTCTTGCTGTATTGGAGAGATAAAAAAGTATTTGACAAGATGGTTTTCAAAACTGCTTAGATGCATACCTAAACATTCAATTTGAACATATATTTTTTTCTTTTAGGCAGTTTTTGAAAACAATAATTTTCATGGTCTTCTAATTCTCTTCTGATTAAAAACCCAATTATTCCAGTGGGTTATGGGAGACCATGAAAAGCCCTCAAAGCAGATATTTTGGATGAATCTGAAAATCACACACATTGCAYACATTTTTTTTCCAGAAAATAGCTGTATCAAACCCAGTTGTATGCTGTTTCCTTACATATGGTAATAGCCAGCACAATAAAACATGCAAGTTAAAAATAATTGCTTTTCTTTCCGTTGGGTTTAATCATCTATTCCACCACACAATTCATGTTGCAGATATTCAAAAGCTGTTGGACAGATGGTCCTGAAACAGACTGTATTTTAAGAATCTCATTCTTGAGACATTCTCTAACAATTAACAACAACAACAACAAAAACAAATAGAGGATATCACTACTAAGAGCTTATTTGAAAGTACTTTGATGAAAATATGTACTGCCATGGTCCTAGTGATGCAATCACACAATTATTTGCTTCAAACAGATAATACTGATTCTTTTTTTGCTTTTTTTTTTATTTTTTTCTTAGTGAACAATCTCTGTGTAACCAGCATGTATCTCATCTAACAGTGCTGCTGAAACACTATATGGCAAACACTTTTGCTTTGGAAGTTGTACTGTTAGAAATGTATTCAAGAAATAGAAACCAAGATTGCAAAGGCAGTGTGAATGACAAGGGCTGGCAGTGTATTAGTTTAGGCTGCTAACATGTGAGAGGTGAGAAAGACCTCTGAGATCTTATTTTCTTTCTCTCTGATATTTCCTCAAAACTGTCTGAAATTGAAATATTCATTGCTGTATTTGTTTCTGATTTTTTTTCCTTGAAAGAGGGACCATACTGTCTCTGGGTACCACTGAGTAAAGAAATGGTCTATTTATAGACCTCATTTATGTATATTTATATATACATAATATACATAGAGAATACCTTAATTACGTATATTTATATATCATGTATCATAAAGAAAATACATTTATGATGACCTACCAGCCTCTTTCAAGTTATGGGAATTAGAGCACAGCCATGAAGATGAAGGTACTCCTAACCTCAGTAATAGCCTCATTTTTGTATTCAGATGAGTGAAAAGAAGTAATTTAGCTAAGCACACAGCATGAAATGTTATGTAATTTTCTTGTTGAAATTGCATAATACAACAGATTTTGTTTAAAAGTCAGTTAGAGAGTTCAGTTTTATTGTCTAAAGTATGAATAGGGMTGGCAGATATAGCTTTTCCAAGGACAAATATCCTAATTATATATCTCACTACAAATTCTAATGACTGTTAAAAATTGACCATCAAAAATGAAAAAGCTCTTAAAAAAGCTACATGGATATATGCCGATAACCAGAATTTCATTTAATTTGAAGAGAAACCTATCCATAGGTCCTGTAACCATCTGCTGTAAACTCTTGTGGTCAAAGGCTCAGATACTCTCTTTCCACTCCTGTGTAACTCCTCAATAGAAGAATCCCAGCTATTCTGCTTTCCCAAATACAAATTTTTCTCTATCATCTTAAAAAAAAAAAAAAAGGTTCAGAAGATACCAAACTTTTAAGTGAAGGTCTGAAGCTAAACAGGWTTGGTTGAATGAATGAATTCCAAAGGCTGGGATATACCCTGCTGTACATTGTAGTTTTATAGCGTATTTATTGCAGGCATATGACAACATGTGACAAGGATAACTAACTCATCTATGCTTTGCAAAGGTGTATTTTCATCCAGTGTCTTAAAAGAAGTTATTAATATACCTTATGTCAGTTTCCCATTTAGTCATAAATCACACTTTAGCATGAAAGAGGTTATATACACCTAACAGTTTAATAATATCAGGCCATCCTCATGACAGATGACAGGAAGGAATCCAGGTGAAGACAAACTAATTATAGCCTTTCACTGCCACAGACTTGTAGCAATTGTGAGTACATGCACCCTAGTCCAACTAGGCTCAGTTCATTGGAGAAAATGGCTTGTGTAACTGCTGCCTGCTGCTGTCCCCAAGTGACCTAGGGATTWGTTACAACTTCAGAGCTTTCTTTCCATATGTGTTGATCTCCAGGTGCCKGTATAAGACCTAAGGAAGCTTGACACTACGTCACTTGCATGGATGTACCCTCTGTTCCCAAGGTGYGCCACAGAGTTCCCCGTCCCCTTTGTAAAGGATCTTTTGGCAAATCTATTCACCATGCAGGATCACAAACTTTGGGGCACTACTGACTGGATAGTGATGGAGACTGTTTTGTGGTAAACTAGTGTATTTCTTGAAGCCAGGTGGGGATGTCAATTCCAACAGAGCTAGAACACATCCGTATTCTACCACGTGTGATTTATCAATACAAGTCATAAAGCTTTCAAAAGCTCAGGAAAAAAATCACATTTTGTCATGCAYAGCAAGGAGATTCTCTGACAGTAATGATCAGTAAAACTACCATAAAGATGTTATTCCAATTCCCTGCAGACATAGCGAGGTATTTGACCAGACCCATGCTCCATGTGGGAGCATGACAGAAAAGGATGGAGAATCAGATAGAGAACCAGACTCTGGAGAAGTCTGTTTTCTAAATTAATTACATTTAGAAATTGGTCATCAATATGTCAGAAGGAAGTTAAGGGARCTGGAAGCTGTTCTCCCCAAGGGATGACTTTGCCAATAGCTGTGAACGAACTTTCCTAAAAATAACACAGAAGGCTATTCTGTGCAGTTTATAGATGTGTCTCTAGAAGACTCAGCCCATCTAGTCTATTGATGGTATATATTCTACTTCACTGAAGTAGCCAGAGTCTATAAACCAACAGAAAGGTCAAGACTGGGAAGTAGCAGAGTTACTAATTTTGAGAAACTGATACTGATATTCTGAAACAGATGGCAAACTCCTTCCGACAGATGCCAAGGGTTGAATGTCCATTGTGTTCCCAAGCACCATCCAAGKGATGACTATTGATGTCTTGCAGGTATCTATTTTGACACTTATGGCAGAGGTTATTAACCCCGAGAAATTATATGGTCAACCCACCGAATTCACATTTTTCATACTTAGCATATTAGCCTCATGATTTCAGGACCAGGAAATGAGACATATTCCCCATAAGCCATCTGACCCCTTGATAAAATGAAGACATCTTGACTCAGGTCAAGCTTGCCCAGAACACACCTAAAAGCAGAACTAATGAAGTTCACAGGACATTGGAAAGACTCCAGTGCCACTGCAATGACCACAGTCAATTTAGATTACAATCTAGCCTGAGGAAATACCAAAACGGAGCTTATTCTCTCTGTGATCTGTTCATTAATGGCAGAAAGAAAAAATACTGCCATCTTACGGAGATYGTGACAGTTCATGCATCAAAGCATAATAAACCATCTTCATAATCCATCACCACAAGAGAGCTGCTAATAAGGATGTCAGTGGACAGCTCTAGCATTTCCCTTCAGATTTCCTTTGTGAATTCCCTAAGAGGGATTATCAGCTCAGATTCTGACATTGAAAAAATTTACTTGAATAGGACTGGATCTGGTCTGACTACCAATGAGGGAAGGTAATTGCCAAGGTGCTGATAATGTCAGTGTTTCTTCTGTAGAACTTGGACAGATCAAGAAGAACCTATCTTAGAGGGCAGCAGTTCACCTGCTGAGCTGAGCTACCTAAGATATAGGCATGGCTTCAGAAAWAGAAACAACAAAACTCTGCTTGCTTGAGAATCAACAGGAGGCATGTAGGTACTGCCTCTCAGCCATGTGCTTTTAAAGCAAACATTTCAGTAACAAGAGCAGAGCAATACTGCATTTATTGAAATGCCAGTTTTACTCATGCAGCAGTATATGATACAAAAATTTACTGAAGAAAGTGAGCACAGATTCACAAAAGTATTGCATCTGGTATTAGCTAGATTTCAAAAAGCATATTAAGGAATTTTAGAGATCAGTCATGTGCAATGATTGGAAGTCTTAAAATCCAACACAGTAATCCAGTGCCGGGGAATTGAGAAAGACACTATGAAAAAGACAACAGATGACTGACTTGGTCAGCTACGGAATGAGATTCGACAACTGATGATATGTAAGAGGTTAAACAAAGGGCTTCTTTCTGCTCTCAGAAACTGACAGACATATAGTCAGACTTCACTTTTATTTTAAAATAGAATGGCAGAAAAAAAAGGGGTAATGTAGTTGTACAAGGATGTATTTTTTAAGGTCTGTGGTTTAAAAAAACTACTAAGTGGATCAGATAAACCAAAGTGTTTCTATCACAGGGCTCCCAGGCAAAGTATTAAAGACAGTGAAAAAGATAAGGTTTTTTTTCAAGCTGTAAATGCTTCAAAGAAAAACAAAACGGTTTCTCATTTGTGTAAACGAAGGGAAGCAGAGGTATTAGGAAGAAAACAGATGTATTAATAAATGAAAAGTAGTAGTGGAATTAATTGCTCTAAAATGCCTGAAAGACAAGCTACCTTTGTAATTATTTTCATCAAGAAGGAAAACACAGAAAAAGTTTGAACCACTAATGTGAACAGCTTATCACAGCAAGGGGTGTTTTTATCACTGCAAGTGATTAACCACTGGAATGAAGAATCATCTCTTGGTATCCTGAGATCCTGACAACACACTTGTCTGTGACATATGTCTGAGCCAAACTCACACAAAGCTCACCTCCACAGAGCAAGGAGTCCTGTGCTAGATAGGATAACAGAGTAGTTGAATTCAAAGCCTTCTGAGGCCTTTCAAACTGTTAGTCTAGAGCATGGCAGTACTTTGTAGGCACACTTGTACTGGAGGTGGTGAAAAAACCACCTCACCTAGACACAAAGTGACGAGTAAGAAAAAGTCAGGGGATTAGTACTTATRAAGTCAGTCACTAGGATTTAAAAAAAATGTTGGAAAATAAAGTACATTATATATCTGCATTCTGAACACGCATTTCATCCTAAAAACTACTGTCATAATGATCCTTGTGGACCTTATACTATTTTCAGTTGTGATTTATGCTCTAATTTCTATAAATTGACAACTGATATAACCTRAATACCTCATCTGAAAGCCACATAAAAATAACTAACAATATTCTAAGAGAGGTGTGATGAGGATAAATGCCTGAATGTGAAATATTCAGATCTTCTGGTCATTTGTTCCCCAAGAACATTTATAAATAAAGTGTGCAAACACATGACATATGTGAAATACTAAAGCCTGAAAAAAGTTATTTGATGCAACACAGAGCTAGGAGGCATATCATGCAAACCTCATGATAACACTTTCTAAATATACCAGCCAACAAGACTGATTTTAAGGGCTTTCAGCAAATGCGTTATACTGCTGCTAAACCATGAACCTGCAGTGAAGTTGCTGGTATTTCTTGGGAAGTTTAGCTCATTTTTTCCTTCTGTACTTCATGCAAGACAGCTGTGACACTTTTCAGCCACTCTATCATTAATGTGACATTCACTGGTAACAGTGGGAAATGCACGTTTGGAAAGTAAAGGCAAAGTGGACCGCAGAACCTTCCTTAAAGGCTTTTTTCAGTCTAGATAAATTAGAATTAAAATATTTCTCTTGGTATTTTAAATAAGGAAAGCTMTAATAATAGTGTCATCATAAAAATTATTAAGAAGCTTAATCATGGGAAATTATCTTTTTAGAGATCAGTCTTGCCAGTGAACCTATTAATCTGAACAAGACTTTCACAGGACCAACTTCAAGGAAGCAAACATGAAGTAAAAAACCCTCCTAGCGTGCAAGTGTAAACACTCTGCTATTTCCATTCTCAAGAACCTAGTCATCTTTTCATGCCTTGAAGGATCACTTTACATCTTCTTCACTGTTTGACATTTTTATTCAAACCAGAAATCTTTTCTCAAAAAACCCTTCCAGTGAAACCAATTGAATTTTGTCTAAACAAATACTCAATAAACTACAGCAAGAATAAAGYACTTTTCCAACAGCTTTTTAGAAATAACTCCTGTTTCTACAGAGTTCATTTTAACATAGTGTCTCACTGGATTGTCTCAGCATTAGTGAAAGCAATACAAGTTAGCTGAAATATAGTGATGTTGTTCAGCATTTCTTGAGATGTGGCCTCCTTTGAGATTTTTCTCTCCCATTCTAGTAACTTCTTCTTTAAAAAAATATATGACATGACATAGTTCTTTTTGCATTCTTTAGATGACAGACTGCTTAGGGCATGATGGCTCTGTGTTGGTTCAATGGGCTCCAGTCACACCAATAGTTTTTTTTTTTTAAACTGCACCAAAATCAACCATAATTTGGGAACCTAACTTTTAAGCAATGATTTTATTAACTAATGACTGAAGATGACAGTATACCAAAATACAGATAGTGAAAATGAAGACTTTTCAATGAGCCAAAAGGACTTGTGACAATAGAAAGGTTACTGCTGAGATAGCAATGCAAATGGAAAGGAATCCCAGTTCTTTCTGATGCCTCTGGGAGGCCTGGTTTGATTTGCATTTCATTAACTAGCATAATAGATRTAGGAATAGCAATAATTTTGTATTGAGAGAGACAACAGATTGTAGCTGTGGTATTGACTAAGAAAGAAGGTAAATCCTTGTGATGTGCTAATCTGTTAATTTCAGAAGGACTGAAATGGGACTACTTGATACCATACATTTTTGATAAAACAATTGTGAAATTTCAGATTAATTGCTTGTGAACCACTGGAACATCCCAATCGCATTATGGGGCATGGTCTTTATATACTTTAAATCAAGCTGTAAATGAGATACTCTAGTTTATAAAAGGGCCCCCTGAGACMACATTATTTAGGAGTCTCACAAATTACTACTCTTGACACCTCTTGGCTTACTAGGCCAAAGAATCTGAGAGAATGAAAAACTGTAACTGGTTCTGGGCCAGATTTTCTGTGTAAGATTATTTATGGACATTAAAAAATATTGTCTACTTTTTCATTTCTGTTGAGCTAAACCTGTGGTTTTATCAACTGATAGGTGGATGTCCAGTGTGCAACTTGGYAAAAGTCATGTGTTAAAAAAGCCCTGCCCAATGCCAGTCTGATCTGCTATGTATCATAAGCAGCCTCTCAAGAACCACAGTGGCCACCTAGTTTCAAAAAGCCCTGACATGCATGCTTAATAGAGGGAAGCTTGCAATAATTCATATGGCCAAAACCAATCATAAAATGAGATGCTTGTCCAAGTGTAGGACTTTACAACTAAAGGCCTATACCTGTAACACTTTTGAACTAGGGTAACTCTTTTTACTCTGTACKACTTGCTCAAAGAATTTCCAAGTCAAGTCAAACATCTTTTTCCTCGTCTTCCAAGAGCTAAAAAAATAGGGAAACCAACCAGCAAGCATAAAACTCCAAAATGRGAGCCATGAGCATTTCCATTCTCTTTTGACAAACTGATTTCTGTCTACAGATGTGATTTACAGGTTGTTTTTACCAAAGTCAGATTCGACGGTTCATAGCTGTTACATGGGAACATATTAAGCCTTTAAAACCTGCAGTGACATGCCAAGTGATGAGTATTCTTCATGAAATGCAGAGAAGTGAGAGCAGTCTTCCAGCTCAAGAAGTCTGAGAGTCACTGCTGAGCAAYACAGAGAAACTTCTGCACCACAGCACCACAGCCTCAGGTCCAGACCTTGACTGTGAGACATGCTTTCCAAGGAACAGAGTACTAACACAAATCACATTTTGCTCTGTAAGTAAAGCACATGCCTTTGATCTTGCTTTCCTTGACCTACATATTTTAATGTAAACAGAAAAACCTAACCCAAAATTCTACTTGAACAAGACACTTCAGCACATTAACTCTCATTGAAGGAAGAGAGGGTGGCAATAATCACAGATATTTATTCTGTCTCAACAAAGAACCCATGCATAAATATGTATATACACATATACAGACGTGTACTTGAAAGGTTCTAGTAACTTCAGTTTCCAACTCTTTGGGCTTAAAACTTTCATATCAGCAGTGACTTACCTGACAATGAAAAGCTTATCAGTCTCCGACTTCCTTGTCCCTGGATTGAGTCTTCATTGGTGATGCTTTTAAAAATCTGCTGGAAGATAAAGAATTATGAGAAACAGTAGTCTCCAACAACTCCTGAACAGAGTAATTGCTTAATAACTGTCTATTTTACAGATTCTCAGTTTTACAACTAAGAATCAATTATAATACAAGAGATCAAAACCATGTTTTTATCTAGGTAATCATTTAACCATTAATGGCCTAAGTCATTCCTTCCTGGRAGTTTTCCTTAAAAAAACAAAATGATGGAAAAATACTACTGTAATTTGAATATAGCAGTTCTTAACCCAAAAATGAATTACATATTAATCAGGAGATAAAAACAGTACATAAGGATGGCGATGTGGCTATCACCTCTTGAAATAACTTCCAACTTTATAGCATCCTATTACTCGTGGAAAATCTTGTTCCAGAAAGTTTATCGCATACCTATGAGAAAGACTTCTGAGAGATTACTAGTACCCTGCACAAAAAAACATGATTGTGAATTATGCTAACAATGTGCGTTGAAGGTGAGCTGGAAAAAAAAATAAATTAAAAAATCCACAGATTACTCTTGGTACTCCACAGTTCAGTTTTTAATGCCAGTCTTTGGTTCAGCGAGTTTATTGGGAAACTGCTGTTGTGCAAATTAGGCCCCAAGGGGTGTCAGGAGAAACMCACCACCAGCAGTTTTCACATGAAGTCCCTGAGCAGGGCAAAGGAGATGCCATCGGGTATCAGACTCCAAGTTCAGCAGGGAGGTGGTGCTACTAGTACTGCTTCCCACCGACTACGGAGCCAAACCAAGCACTGCTCTGCCCCCGGGAAGCAGCAGCTCCATGTCACTCTTGTCATTCAGCTTTCAGCCAAAAAAGAAAAACAGCATTTATGCTGTGAAGTTCCAATTTCTGACGGGAAACAGTAACTGAAGTCCCACTCAGTCGTGACTCATTGCTCAGTATATTAAATATTGTGTAGTCAAGCTTAACTTAGAAAACAAGCTGCTCTCTGCCCACAGACAGTGCCAAACCTGGGCAAGTGGGCACTGCAGCTCAGCTAGCAGTGATTAAATAACCCGACATGGATGAGGCCTAGATCAAAAATATATGGGTTGAATTTAGACATCTGTGTTGGTTTTGCTTGGCCTGTTTTTTTGSTAGTGGGGTGGGGGTGGGCGGGCACMAAGACAGCTTCTGTGAGAAGCTGCTAGAAGCTTCTGCCATGTCCAGCAGAGCCAMTCACTGATGCCTCTGAAGATGGACATGCTGCTGGCCAAGCCTGGGCCAATTAGAGATGTTAGTAATTCCTCTGTGATAACACATTTAAGAAGAAAATCAAAACAAGAATGCACAGGTTTTTTTAACCACAGAAGAGGAGGAGGTGAGAACATGTGAGGCAAACAACATGGAGACCCCAAGGTCMGTGGAGAAGGAGGGGGAGGAGATGCCAGAGCTGAATTTCCTCTGCAGGCCATGGTGAGGACCATGGTGACCCAGGCTGTCCCCCTGCAGCCGCTGTGGTCATGGGGGATGCAGAGATSCACTCCCAGCCCGTGGGGGAGGTGCCCACACCAGAGCGAATGGATGTCTGGAGGAGGCTGTGGGCCAGTGGGAGACCCRGTGGAGAGAGGGGGCCCTGATTCCAGGCTGGAGCAGCCTGGCCTTGGAGGACTGCAYCCCAKGGACAAGTGACCCACAYCACAGCAGTTTTGGGAGGAYTGTCTGCCAGTGGGAGGAGCTCACATTGCAGCAATTTTGGGAGAACTGCTRCTTGTGAGATTTGGAACCACRTCAGAGAAGTTCACAGAGAACTGTCTCCTGTGGGAGAGACCCCACGGCACCGCAGGGAAGGACTCYTCTCCCTGAGCAGCGGAAAAAGACTTGGGCGATGAACTGACCAAGACATCCCACCCCATGCCCYGTTCCCTGCACTGTCAGGGGCAAGGAGGGAGGGGTTGGGGGAAGAAAGGGTATCTTTAAGAGCTTATTCTACTTCTCTTTATCCTCCTTTGTCTCTGTTAGTAATAAATTAACTTTCTGTTTTGCCCTTGGAGTGTTTCCTCCCAGTCCTTATCTGAACTGATGACCACTTCGTAAAATTTTGTTTCTCTCCTCTGCCCAGCTGTGGCAGAGGAGGGAGACGGAGTGGCTGTCTTGGGTGTCTGGCATTTGGCCAGTGTCCAAACCATGACAACATCCTTACAAAATAATGGGTTCTGCTGGACCTGACTTTTACTCATAATCATTTTGTTTCTTCCAGACTATCTAAAGGGGATAAAGATATTGAGTAGAGCAGGACTATGAATAAATTCCAGCAGAAACATCCCTATTAGATCACAGCTAATTAGTTGCAATTGCACTATTGGCCTTCTCAGCTAAGTAGGTTTCAATATATTTATTGATCCCACCACTGATTTCTGGATAGAGACACGTGTAAATCAGAATATATGTGACTATGGGAATTTTATGACAAGAACTTGGCAACTTTTGCCAGCYAAAGTTGTGATTCCATCAAGAAACAATGACATTTCCTTTTCAACATGTAGTTTTCATACTATGCCACTGCCTAACACAATTACACATTATACTTTAATGCTTACTTCTATGGTCTTTTCATGATTTTGTCCAGGATGGTAACCGGGCCAGCCAACCTAGATACGTACACATTTTCAAAATGTGGTCTCTTCCAGTCCTTCAATATTTCTCTGTTTGTTTTTTTTTTTTTTTTTNAATTTGCCATGTATGTCATATATCATGCCAGTATGAATAGCTCAGCTGATGGAATTTGCCATGTATGTCATATATCATGCCAGTATGAATAGCTCAGCTGATGGCACTTTGAACAAACTGGGGTAGATCTGATAGAGTCCTGCAAATCTATTCAAAACTTAAAAATATGTTCCTATTAGATGACCCTTCAGGGGCCATATCCACATTAGTGAAACGGTTTTGAGTTCCAATAGAATGTTGTCACAAATCTTGATACAGGGAAAGCATCCTCAGCATGGTCAAACCTGCACTAGCAAAGCTGGCCATTATACAGGGGGAGTAATAACACATGCAGTTCCATAAGTGAAACAACAACAAAATAAATTTATTTGCTCCTGAAGGGTCCCTCTGTTCTGWGAAGCAGGAGCACTCCACAGAGCCCTATGAAGTGCTCACCACTCAGCCATGCAATCAGGGCTACTAAAAGCCAGCCCTGCTGTGCAAAGGCGTTCCATCCTCAGTAGCTGATCCCTGCATAACTCTCTGAGACGCAGCACTACATCAACATGCCATTTTGAGAATGCCTAGCACTTAACCTTAGCAATATGAAACATTTTCTGAAAGCTTTTCTAGTTTTATTCCTGGCCAGGTGGATGAGAAAGGGCAGAAAGGCTGAAGGAGAGAGGCTCTTGTCCTTGGGATTGAAACCTCGGATGCCTCATTAAAGATGTCGTACATCTGAGCCTCCTGTGTACTCTACCACCACAAACCTGTGCTCTTCATCCTCCAGYGGTCTCAAGGCACTGCTCTGTCACTCTCCTCACACACGCAYAGMACCTTCTCACYCACRATACAGGTCCTTAGGTACRCCAGTRCMCATGCCAGAGCAGGCYCAGGAGCAGGCAAAYATCCTCTCTCAAAGAATGGGAAGRGGAACAGGAAAGCCATGAAAGTGATTATACTTTAATAGTGGCATTTGTAGAAGTCAGAAGGAACAGCAGGGAAGGAAAGGAGAAAAGTCTTGCAACATTACGACTGATTTTCTGAAAATAAAAATAGCTATTTGGTGCAGTCTGGATTCACTATTTTCTAATGCTATMCCAGCCTGTCCCCAGTAATGAAGACAAGGCTGCACTTGATGCAGGGCAGGGCAAAAGAGGGGGAGTGGTCACCAGTGCTCACCAGTCCCKGGATCAAGTGGATTTCATATTACCTTGAGGACTGGGATGGGGACATGCACAGGTCATACTGTTCCTGCTTGCCATTTATCGTGAAAAAGATCCAGACTGATTTTAGTGGCTGCAATRTAATTACATTGGGAGTTTTGTCACTGTAAGTAAACCTTGAATTTAGTTATCAGGAGGTAAAAACCCCTTTATATTCTCAACTGCCACTTAAAACATGGTTAGTTGACAGAGAGACAACATTCATCTTGTAACTTGACATCCTATGGGCTTGAAGTCCTTCACATGAAAAGGAACAAATGTGATTTTCCCTCAATAACTTTTGTGCTTTTTTATGCCCTTGAAGTAAGACATCTGAATCAGCTTAATATTTTCAAGTTTATAATGCCATTTTTGCATATTGTGCRAGTCCTGCTGATACAAAACAGGATYAATATGCTTTTACTACATGCTTCCATTATATCTAGATATGAAGATGGGACTTCAAGCCTAGCTGAATCTCMCTCTAGAAACCAAAGGCTTCCTGAACTGGTTTCAAACCTCCTTTTGCTTTCCTTGAATGTAATTGGAGCCAGCATCATTGCCACTGATGGGAGCATTTTATGTTCAAACAGTAAGAGAGAAGCATCTGTACTTCCTTTAAAATTTTCTCCTGTAAACATACACTGTAAAACCTTATTCTGGTCTGCTACAGAGTTCCCCTACCTCCGAAGCATGGTGAAAGATGACTACCAGCACTTGTGATGGCCATCTGTGAAATGGAAAGGTACTCGAGGCCAGACTCAAGCCTGCTGGGACTTGCTGACCTCAGGAAAAGGTCCATCTTTGGTGGTGCTTTTCATTTTTACAGTACAGACAAAAAAAGAAGAGAGAAGGAGATGAATGAAAGYTAAAAATAATAGGCTTGTCCTGGAATCACTTTTCCTCGTGAGTAGTTCCAGCAAATGTTAGAAGGAAGTTAAGTGACCCTGAAAAAGAAAGGAGGCAGGTTTCATACTAGCAAAGGGTGCCCCTGAGACTCCCTTCCTTTTCAGCCAGGGTATGTGTTATGAAAAAAAAAAAAAAATCTTGAGAAATCCCAGAGTCTTACAGTCCATCGGAGGCTGAGGCAAAATTCCAAGCACATCACTAAAAAATTTTTCTAAGCAGAAAGACAG